TGAAAAAATCATATATGGATTTTAACACAATTTCTAAAGTCACGCCCTTCCATTTTTTACTATAATTTTGTTTACGTAATTTTTATATTGTAATTCAGAACCAGTGGACAGCAAGTACATCTTCTCGGTGCTAAATCCAAAACAAATACAAACATTCCAGTTCAACTACGAATTACAGCAGCTGACTGGGTAAGTTCGTCATAATTTACACTTTACTTTACTCTATTTTGAAATATATTTTTACAATGACAATGTTTTAACTTCGGTTAAACAGCGCGTCAACTTTGTACTCAGCACATACCATAAACAGTCTGACTTATTTAAAACTTCAATTAATTCATTCCATCAATTTTCTAACAACTTCAATTTAAATCACCTATCCGTTAAATAGACGACATGTTAAGATATGTAAAGGTATGTGTATGCTAACTTTGTTTAAAAAACACGTCTCTGAATATGACACGAGGAACTACTAACCCCAGCGTGTTTTGCAGGCAAAATTATTTAAAGTATGCAAAAGAAAAGTGTATGTCAGTCTTTATAAAACTATATGTGTACATTATTTTCGGATATTGTCAATTTTCTAATATATGAAATTTCTCTAATTTACCACTGCGTAAATGATGTATTTACAAAAACAGTAAAGTTTGAAATAAATGAGCGTTTCAAGATAAAAACAACATATATCTGGACCGAAAGGCGTCGAATCGTCAGTGTTGAAAGATGTTTACATACTATGTATTTCATCCATATGCGGTGTTTTCAATGGTGCTTTACACACACTATTTTAAACTTAATCCTCTGTATGTCTTTATTTCCTGACCATACTCATTCCCGCAATTTCAACAAGTTGTCATTGTGCTTTCAGTTTCTTTTGATTTACATTCGGTCGGATACCAGGCTACGTACAATATTTACACACAATTTTGATTCCGAGGACCCGTCTTATAAACAGACCATCGCCAACTGTTACGATGACTTCTCGAAGAAGGCGTCATTCTAGAGTTTCCAGTACTTGAATATTTGCTATAATCTTTGAATTTAAAATTTTAGACATGCAACTAATGAGACAGTCGAAATTAAAGATCCATTCTTACACACAGTTTAGAGGCAATTGGAAATACGTTTAAATTTGGACCTTTTCAAACATTGTTGATAACATGTTTACAAACAACACCAAAAACAAACACGTAAAGGAAATTTGTGATATCTCTCAATAAAATTGGGACAGACTGTGTTTAAATTTATGTGAAAGAACTAAATACGTTGCTCAACGCTTCTTTTTTTTTTAGGAAAAATAAAAGTCACAGTATATTTGTTATGTTTTTCAGGCTCATGGGACAACAGTCTGTTACAATACCAAAATCAATTTATTACACAAATCACCAACAGACTAGCTACCTGTCGGCACGTATCTCTCATATACGGGTACAGAACGCTCAGTTCCGGGTTAGAATCAGACCAGTTCTACTTTGTTGCTACACTTCTAGATTTACCACCACCTATCGGTAACTTAACTTTTTTTTATCTTCATACCGAATATAGATAAAATAATTTTATTAAAAGGAACTTCACCGAGGTCAAAAAATAAAAATAAATAACAACAAAGAAAACATGATTTGAAATTATTGCAACTTTGGAACTAAAAACAGAAAAACATGTAAAAGATGATAAAGAAATATACTCAGTAAATAATTGAAAATTGATATTTTGTGCTGTTTTTAGCTCGATTTGGGTCATTTTCCACATAATTATGGATTATTTTTTTCTTTAAGAACGGAAAGAGCGAATGATCTGAAATTTTTCACACAAGTGATTGGTTCAGACTTAGATCTACATCAGATAGAATATTTATCTAGAAAACAAAACCCATTCCCATCGTGTCAAAAAAAAAACGTCTTTAATGATAAAGAAAAAAATATAATGTAGGAGTATTGAATTAAGATTGACTAATTGAGTTTTATTTACCACGTACATCGTCTATGTTGGTCTTCTTACAATTGTGTTTCCTTCTTTTTCAGCTTATTTCAGAAAGGTTACAGGTCGTTTCCGGCAATTCACAAACGACTTGTCTGTAACAGTATCGAGTGCTGCTGATTGTGCCCGCCAATGTAATGATCCGGGTACTTTAGGACAATGTAACAGTTTTGATTACTGCGCTTTCCAAAATCTGTGTGGTCTAAGTAAATCTCACACTGAGGACGGGGTTGCTATTGTAACATCTTCCGGACAATGTGACCACTACGTCCGTAAGTACTTATATACATATATACATGCATTGTAAACTTTTAAAAGGTCCGCTTCATTGTATACACACCGGTTTATCGGTCAGTAAGACCGGTGTTCACAATGGCGTCCTCTTTTATAAGAGAAGACACGTGGTATATTAATGATCGAAGCAAAGTCGTTCATATTTTTAAGGATTTAAAAATTTGATTGTATGTTTAATCAGTTGACAATAAACATTAATCTCATTAAAGGCCAAAGTTAATTCAACTTTCAAAATGATTAGCCAAGTTAGTAATTGTATAGGGAATAACTGTAAGTTTTATATTTCTTTAGGTACAGTGTTTTGAAAATTTGTGACAGGAAAAATAAGTATGACAATTTGAGTTTAAAATGGAATCTACACAATTTTACTTTTATAATGCTGAACCACCCCCTTTAAATTATTTATTCTTATCATTTGTACGGTCGGTCTACACTCGTAACCACTTTGTTGTTGTTGTTTTATATAGTAAATTTAAACGTACTTATTCAAGCTCAATTGCGAAAGAAGTTCTTGCAACTTAATCATTTTCGAGTCCTCTTCCTGGAACCAACCAGTACTGGTGTCATATGAAAAAAAAACCTTCGTCGTGACCTGATTAGGGCTCGAACCAATGATCCTCGGGTTGAGAGGCAGGCACTTAAACAACTAGTCCACCGCTCCCCTTGTTGTTGCTGTTGTTGTTGTTTCTGTTCATACTGTTGTTTTGTTCATTTTATGATTATTATTGTTGTTGTTGTTGTTTTCTATTGTTGTTGTTGTTGTTGTGGTTGTTGTTGATGACGTATAATCGTGTTTTATTTTAATTATCGTACAGGTACGACGCAGACGTCAAATTTTAACTTAGCACTCGATAACGCCTGGGTGAACATAAAAAACGACGTGCTTACTGGTAACTTTCAAATCAAGGTCAATATAAATGGACAGGTCAGTATTTTAATTAACTCACATATATATTTTGCCTAGTAATTGTAGTATATTGAATTGGATTTGTGAACGTTGCTCCCATAAGTTTATGGTGTGTGTAAAATAAATAAACAATAAATCTTTGATATGAAACGCAACCCATTTATTGGTATGTTGGTATTTCTTAAATGAATATGTCCAGTTTTCATTTTTAGACTGTCCATTACCAAGATAGAAATTTACGACTTCAGTACTGCGTTTACCCTGCTTTGAATTAGGAGCAAACATGAAATTTTCTGGGGTTTGGGGTTTTCAAAGGGTTTTTAAATTTTGGGTTTCCCCAAAGCAAACATTTAACTACCAACAGTATATAAAAAAACAAAATTTGGGGGGTTGGGAACCCGTAAAAAATTCCCTCCCCAGGGGGAAAAAACTGTTATCCCCCAGGCGTAGCCGGGGGGTAAAAGTTTTTTTTACGAGGGTATATTTTTACTGTTATTTACAAACCCCTGTGTTTTTTTTTTAAATTTCCCCGAAACAAAAATCCCCGTTTTGTCTGAAAAATTGTCCAAATTAAAATTTTTAACCCCAAACAAAAAATAAAACCCAAGGAAGGAAACCCCCTAATAAACTGGTTTTCCCCTTAAACCTTTTTAAATTTTTGTGTACTTTAGGGCCTTTTCTTTTTGGGGAAATTTTTCCTTTTTTTTTTATTCTTTTTAAACAAAAATGATATCTACAAATCATAAACAAAAACAATAAACTAGGTTTTTATTTGAATACAAAACACCTTTAAACCCCTTTAACGGGTTTTGATCTGTGAAATTTTGAAACCTTTGCATCCCGAATATTCTTCCCCCAAAGGGTTTTTTAACCAAAAGGGATTTTTGAAAATTTTCGTGATATCCTTAAAAAAAAAATGTCTTTGTCCCCCCAACTCTTTTTCTGTTCCCCTTTTTACTTTTGGTTTTAAAATTGTTTAAAATTTCCTTTGGGTTTCATTTTCTTTTTAACCCTTTTGCATTTTTCATTTTACAAAAATTTTTTTACCCTTAAAAAATTTTCTTCCGTTGAAAAACGGATGTTTTCCCGGTTTTACTATTTTAACAAAAAAATATTTTTACCCAAATCAACCAAAAGGTTTCAAAGAACTAAATTTTAAAGAAAGTTTAAAAGTTACTTCGGTGATGCCCCATTCCCTCGAAAATAAGAATGAATCGAGAAAAAAAATGGCGGCCATTTTTATTTCATTTTATTTAGAAAATAGACCACGTGACCAGATTTTTATACTGTTAAAAATACTGTTACCTATGTAACAGTACAAACTTCTTAGTCACGTGGTACACTTGCATTAACAGTAAAAATAACTCCCAGAGGCCTATGGGAAATTAGCATTACGAAAAAAGTGAGGGGTAATAATATACATTATATGTTTTAAAACGGTTTTGAAATTTTGAGGTGATTTAAACATGTTTGTATTTTAGGCAGCAACATTTACTGCTGGTACTATAGATGATAACGTTATACAAAATGCCCAGCGTACTCTTACAACACGTATGTATATATGTCTTATACACAAGTTATGATAAGATAATTAAATCTTTAACAATTTAAACCTTTAGGTTTTAACTTTATAGTAAGATCTATTCGAGTGGAATTTAGACAAACTTAATGTTTAAAGTGTACATGGCGCATTAATATCTGAATGAATTTATAAATTGTAATACACAGAGTCTCTTATGAATCAATTCAACACGCAAATCAACAAGAACATTCCCGGCTACGACGAACGCCCAATTCTGGGAACCGGTATTGCAAAATTGACGACTGTGCGTCTGCGTGTGTAAACACAACAATCCTGGGTGTGCAATTCGTTCTCATATTGTTTCGATACCGGATACTGCGTGTTGTCCAAACTTCATCCAGACGAGCGTCCGTCAGTTGTCGTAAATATGATGCTATGTGATTTATATACAAGTAAGTTATATGGAGAACAATGGAGTTTAAAAATATAACGTTGTTCATATGTTCCCCTGAATGGCTTTCACATTTTTCCTTTTTAAAATAAAAATAAAATTGGGTTTTAATATTTTTTTTAATTTTTTAATCAGAGAGATATTTGTTTTCTATGCAACACAGCAGTTAAAATAGCAGTGATTTATATGTCTAGAATTTCTTCCTGTTGTTTTAAGTTACCCTAGAGAACTTGCAACATTTTACAAAAGGGCATGATGGTAAGTTCATCTAGCTTTCCATGACAAGGAACAACTAATATTATTACCCCTCACTTTTTTCGTAATGCTAATTTCCCATAGGCCTTTGGGTGTTATATTCACTGTTAAAGCAAGTGTACCACGTGACTAAGAATTTTGTACTGTTACATAGGTAACAGTATTTTTAACAGTATAATATCTGGTCATGTGGTCTACATGTATTTTCTAAATAAAATTAAATAAAGTGGCCGCCATTTTTTTCTCGCTCCATTCTTATTTTCGACGTTAAACCCCGATACGACATCAATTTCTTCTCTGGAGTACCTAGTACACTCATAAAGTTTAGTTGTTTGCACCCTAGGGTGCTTTTCGCGTATAAAATATCTTTTTGTTGAATAGTCAAAAAGTGAACATCCGTTTTCAATGGAAGTCATGGCAATGTAAATAAGTATGTGTCAAACTGGAACAAGCAGACGATTTAAGCATGAAACAAAGGATTATGTAACATTTTTAATAAGTGAAACGTTTCAGATATAGTGGACAGACAAAGGATATCATCGTTCTTTTGTTAAAAACCATGCTAAGAATTTTCTGGAAACAGAAGGATCGGATTTCACCGGCCCGGATTTCACAGATCATAACCTTATAAATGGGTTAGTGTTTTGTTTTCTAAATAAAACCTAGCTTATTGTATGTTTATGATTTGTATATATCATCACTTGCTTAAAGAATAAAGAAAAAGAAAACTTCTCAAGTAGGCCTAAAGTACACTTAAAACTTAAAAAGTAAGGACAGTTTAGTTATTGTTACTCTTGGTTTATTTTTGTTACAGTTAGATTTAGTTCGACAATTTCAGATCATCGCAATATTTTTGTTCGGGGTAATAAAATAAATAACACATGGGTTTGTGAGTAACAGTAATAATATCATCCCTCGTAAAAATACTGTTACCCTCGGCAACAGTATTTTTCTCGGGATGATATTTTTACTGTTACCCACAAACCCATGTGTTATTATTATTGTCAACTATAAACAAAAGCAGTTATAAAATCTAAATCTCAAACTGATATCACAAACCTTGTATCTGAAATAGTGCATGTGTAATTAACATGACATAATAAATAATCTTACACAAACTTATTTTGATATAATGTTCTAACAGAACTGAGTTTGCTATAAATAAAAAGTTGTTTGTTTTACGTAAATAATCAAATAACCGGAGCTGAGCCTGCTGTACATTACCAAATTTTTGTTTGTTTATGTAAATGACCTAACATGAACCAATGCGGATGTAAATTACCAAAAAGTTATTTGTTAAATGAAAAAAATCTAACAGGAACTGATGTTGCTGTTAATTACCATGTAGCTGTTGTTTCTTTCTTTTAAATTTATGAAAGGGACCAACAGGAAAAGAGTTTGCTGTAAATTACCAAACAGTTCTTTTATGTAAATGACCTAACATGAACTGGGACTGTTTGAAAGGACCAAATAGTTGTTTGTTTTATGTAAATGGCCTATTAAGATGCATATAGGTGCAATAATTAGAAAATCAAATTATGCCTCAGAAACAAATAAATGATCACTTCTTTTGAAAGGGCAAACATTAATGTTATACTGTTTAAATGATGGTTTTAGTGTATGTAAGATGCTTGTTACTTGAAAAGGTAGCGATATATGTAAAAAAATTGGTCATAAAAGTAGCAAAATTTAAACAAAGCATTATTTTGACTTCCATACAAAATGCTTATTCACTATAACTATACAAGTAATATTGAAAACTATAAACAAAAGCAGATATAAAATATAAATCTTTTACAGATATCACAAAGTTCATATTTTTATCTGAACTAGAACTGCCACCATCATGGCGTGAATACCCCCGCATACCACTTTGTCAGAATCAACAGTGGCCATTTAGAGCTCAAGGACAACCTCCCTGCCAAATCTGAGGTAACTAAGCCAGTGCATTGCTAAGTTATGTATTCTACATGCTTCAAATGTGAAAATGTCAAAATCAATACATTGCGGACAGGACATTCTTTAGCAATTGAGAAGAAAAGCTTTTGACAAAGTTTTTGAAGTCAAAGTCCCTGTGACCTTGACCTTTGACCTGATGACCTCAAAATCAATAAGGGTCATCTACTAATCATGACTAACCTCCATGCCAAATATGACGACTGTAGGTCAAAGGAATCTTAAGTTATTGGGCGGACAAGCTTTTTGAAGTCAAGGCCCCTGTGACCTTTGACCTAGTGACCTCAAAATCAATAGGGTCATCTACTTATCATGACTAACCTCCATGCCAAATATGAAGACTTAGGGTCAAAGGAATCTTAAGTTATTGGGCGGACAAGAAAAAAACTGATGGACGGACGGCCGGATGGCCGGACGGACGGACAAGCTGATTCCAGTATACCCCCCTTACAACTTTGTTGTGCGGGGGTATAAAAAGTGCATGTGTAAAAACATTACATAATATGCTATTACTAAGGGAAAACAACAGTTCCAAAAGATGTGTACATATAAGGAAAATCAATGACCTGTAATACACTGTAAATAGTTTTAAATTGTCCGTCCAGGACTTGGCAACTATATATCACATTTATAAACCATAAATTTTAAGAATGACGGACTGCTGATGCCCTTTCATCTTTAACTTTTTTTTTTAATATATTAAATGATTTATTGGCAAGTTTCTCTACCTTGAATCTGAAACCGAATTGTAAATATGGTTATACACATCTTTCCTTTTGGGTTTAAATCTTGTATCTATTTTGGTAGCTTCACATTGTTCATTTAATTCTTTTCCAAACATCTCACTCCTTCTCTGAATATCATCTACATTCATTGAGCCATCATTTACCTGTGACTTTATGTTTTTTATTATCCGTTTATCCAAAGAATTACAGTACTTTGCAGCCTGAATGAAAAAGTTAAAATCATTTATCAAAAAAATATTTCACATTATTCTCAATATATCAAGATAACAAAGAAGACTGTTTAACAAAATTTATAGCTTTTTACAAGTTATACTGCTGTCACCAGGTTGACTTTTTTGTTTTTAAAAGTGAAACAATAAGAATTTAAACAAGCCATAGTACTGGTTAATACTAACACAACAACTGAAGACACAAGAGCCATGTTTACATGGCCATCCCCTGTAGAATTTGTTTGGTCATTGGAAGAATGTATATATTGTAGAGCAGAATAATTCAATTTTAAGAGGTCTTTTGGTAATGACAACTGATGACTGAAATGTTTACAGATTTGAAACCTGTATGAAAACTGATGGCTGAAAATAAACAAACGGCAATAACTGAAAAACAATGCAGGGTAGGTTATCATTCTTGAGTGCTGCACTCGTCAATGAGATTTTTATCTACCTATGAAGTTTCAAGTTGATACTTCTAACACTTTTTGAGATAAGCTCCAGACAAAAAGTATAAAAAATAACAAAGGATAATAACTCAAACAAGAGGGCCATGATGGCCCTGAGGTCGCTCACCTGTATATAGCCCCCCCCCCACGCCCATAAGAAAATGTTTCATGCTAAACATCTAAGCTCTAGCTCATTGGGCTTTATAAAAGAAGATTTTTTAAGTTTTTACTATATGCATATAGGGAAAATCAATGACCCACCGGGGCGGGGCCAATTTTGACCCCAGGGCTTTTATTTGAACAAACTTGGTAGACACCTATTAGAACATGTTTGATGCTAAATACCTTAGCTCTAGCTCTTTGAGTTCTTTAAAAGAAGATTTTTTAAGTTTTTACTATATGCATATAGGGAAAATCAATGACCCCCTGGGGCGGGGCCAATTTTGACCCCAGGGCTTTTATTTGAACAAACTTTGTAGACACTTACTAGAAGATGTTTCATGCCAAATATCTAAGCTCTAGCTCTTAGGATTTTTTAAAAGAAGATATTTAAAGTTTTTTCTTTTGGTTGCCATGGCAACCAGAGTTCTGCTTGGAATTAAAATTTTTTGAACAATTATTAAAGGTGACCACCAAAGGAACATTCCTGTAAAGTTTGTCATTTAAAGTAAAAGTTTACAGACGACTGACGGACGCCGGCCAGACGCCGGACAAAAAGCGATCACAAAAGCTCACCCTGTCACTTTGTGACAGGTGAGCTAAAAATATAAAGGGAATAGTTATCACTTTTGTGCACAGCATTCCTCCTCAATAAGATCTAACCACCTATGAAGTTTCACGATGATATCTCTGGACAGAAATTAAATTTGAGAAATAACAAAGGGCAAACACTGAAAAATTATGCATGGTAAGGTTATCATTCTTGTGCACTGCACTCCTCCTCAGTATGATCTATTCATCTACGAGGTTTTAAGCTCATATGAGCTATAAATCATGGTAACAGTCAATGAAATGCTTATACCTGGTAAAACAGTATTAAGTTTCAAAGTCTCTAAAGTATATTTTTCCTACCATTCCAGACACATGGTTGGTATGAATGCCAACAAACTGTATGAAAATACAATATTGTTGGCTGGTGCGATTGTTGAATTCATCTCTTAACTTGTCCGAGATAGCTCTTCGCTTCCATTTACTATCACAGCCCTGAATCTAATAAAACGCAATCTTTTCAATGTACAGATTAATATGGATTAATATGGACAGTTCTAAAAACAATAACAATGTGACTTGGAAATAATATTGGAAATGAAAATGGACTGTTTAGATGACCATACAGAGTGTTTTTTATTGTTTTTTTATTAATGTAGAGAAAAAATTAACTAACTGTTGATGCTAAACACTTCCGGAGAATATCTCCAGTTGTTGAAGTAACCATCAATAATGTAACATTTCATTTAAATTGTGTAAGTAGTAAAAGAGAAGTAGTCTGGACGTGTCTCAACTTCTCCTTAGCAAGCAACACCAAAAAAATCTATGGAACAGTTTTCATTAATTCTGCCTACTTTACATACGGTATTCTTTACTGATGACTTTTTATAGAGACTATAACTTTAAGATATATTTTGTAATTTACATCATATTTATCTGCTATTATAAGACAATTCATTTATAAAGTTAAATCCTTACCTTGTATTCAGGAAAACTAACAATCCGCCTCAACTTCACTTTTGCACAACACCCCATTTTCCTGGAAGGCTGAATGAGGCGCCTGTTTGTTGAAAATGCATGGTCATCATGTACCAATGGCTATAAAATTAATGGTTTATTATCGTACTGAAGTAAAATATTTATACTAAAAATTCCTCTAACATGATAAAGAAAAGATTTCTTTCTTTTATTAATTTGTCATAAACCCGAAACTATTTCACATACACACCGATTTTATTGCTAATAACTAGTTCAAAATATGAAACAAGTGCATTATACTTTTACAAATTAACTCAGAAATTTTATTACAAAGTGTTCCTATACTATGTTTTAGTAAAACATACTCATATTTACTTTTTCTGGCCTTTTTCTTTTCGGCCCATACATGCACTCTCTCATGTCACAACTGAGGACAAATGAAAGGCACACCTGAATACGGAACTTGTACGGAATTTCTTCCATGATCTTCT